ATGGAGAATGAGATATCAGAGAAGAGTTTCAACCTTTTCTAATCTTAATGCCATATTTAGTTCCTTTAGTAATTCTACCTTCTAGCCTGGCTGACTAATGAAATAGAAAGAAAACAAAAAACAAAAAAAAATTTACCACTGGCAAATCTGTGTGACCAGCCGTGCCAAGGTAAACTGTGGTTTCAATACTTGGATGAATCTGTGATCTCATCAATGTGGGCATTACTTCAAACAGTCATAGAGCAACTCAATTGAACTTTCTCATTCTGTGATTCTCTCATCTATGTCCTCTAAGTTGGGGGTAGGAAGGTTACAGAACAGGGAGGAGAGGGGAGTTTTGGAGGACACGAGAGAACTAATGTTAAGGATCTTCCTCTTAGATCTCTTGACATCACATGAATATTACACACACACACACACACACACACACACACACACACACACGGTGACCAGCTATCCCTTGCATTATAATCATCCCACATAATTTCCAGACATACAAGTCTGATGACATTTTTATGCCACTTCCCTTATACAAGTCTTCGTGACAATAATGACTCTTGAAAATCAGATTAACAAGTATTGATTATAGACTATTATGTTCAGTAGCTATGCAAAATATAAATGACTCAGGGTCTAACTGGCCTCGATAATTTTCTAATCTATATAAGAAACAACATAATTAGAGAATAGCAATATGGTACAAATGGAAAGAGTAGGGAATCTAGATTCAGAGGTTCAAATCCCAACTCAAATACTCAATCCCTGCATGATCTTGGGCAAGGCACTCAACTTCCTGAGACCTCAATTCCTTATCTGTAAAATAAGGAGATTGTAAATAGATGGTTTCTAGGGAAGAGACCCCAGAGCTAAGATGCTATCACAGGAATAGGCAACAGACCTGTGATTTCATTAGTAAAGGGATCTCCCAGACAAGGAAACTCCATCTAGCAAAGCAGATATCCACCTTCTCTAAAATTTATGGTCTTCAAACATATACCAAGGGCAATGGGAAATTAAGTGCTTTGCCCAGGGTCACACAGTCAAGTAAGTGCTTAAAGGCAGAATTCAACCCATATGTATAATATACTTAATCCTGCCTCTGTTCCCTTGTTCACGCTATTTCCCTTCCAAGCAATGCCTATCTGTTTGTCTATAAAAATTCCACAGATCCTTCAAGACTCATCATTCGTTCTATCTGTATACGCCATTAAGCCTACCCTTAAGAGGTCAGGTGGGATATAGATATATAGATATATAGATATAGATATAGATATAGATATAGATATAGATATATAGATATACACACACATATATAAAATGGGAAATAACACTAGAGTTGGAGTCAAGGTTTAAATCTCCATCCTCACCTCAGAATTTCTCTATCCACTATACATACTGCCTCTGATCCTATGAACAACATAACATGAATACTAAATCATAGTGCACCAGGAAAAAAATACAATAGGAATCCATAAAAAAAAAAAGAGTTCGATAAAGTCCGGGATAATAACTCATTTATTTAGTGCTTCAAAATTATAGAGATGCAGTGTTGGCACAGTAGATAGAGACCGGATCTTGGAACTAGGAAGACCAGGGTTCAAGTGCAAACTGACACATCATGACTGGCAAACCATTTAACCTATTCAAGGTCCTAAGTAACTCTCTATCACTATAAATTGCCTAAGGAGACTAGTTTCACTTAAGTGAATTGTTCATGTTGGAGAACTGAACAATGGACCTCAAAGACCATTAACAAAGTGGAACATGCGCAGAGGAGGGTGACTAAGTTGGTGAGAGGACTGGACACCATGCTTACAGGATATATTGAAGGAAATGTGGATATTTAGCATTTAGAAATAAAACTCAGAGAGGATATCTAAAGAGCTGTCACAAGGAAGCTGGATTTGAGTTGTTTTGCTTAGCCCCAGAAAGAAAAACTATGAGTAATGAGTGCAAGGAGCCAGAGACAGAATGTGGCTCAATATAGGTAAACATTGTCTAACAAATTATCACTATCCAAAATTAAATTAGGCTACTACAAAAGATTATGGGCTCTCCATCACGGGAGAGCTGCAAGAGGTAGGTGGATGATCATCTGCCAGAGATTATGGATAAAAACTTCCTCAATATGGTTTGGCCTACATAACTTAAAACCTTTGAGTTTTATTTTGTTTTGTTTTTTCTGATTCCAGCTTTCTATGTCTTCTGAGAGCTTTTCTGTAACTTAATGTTAGGAGTCATTTTGTCTCAGCCTAATATTGAGTTATTATACAGCTAACTTTCTGAAACAATATGTAAGGGAGTTTACAATTTTATCAGATATACTTGATAACAATTCATCATTTCACCTAAGTGTGTCTTATGTGACCAAAATATTTTTAAAACAGGAAAAGTTTTAAGCAAGCAACAAGGAAACATTTAAAAGAGGAAATTGGTTTAGGAAATGTTTTCCTGGACCAAAAAAGAAAAGAAATCCAAGTGATGTTTTATTTTACGTATTTGTATATATGCACACTTCAGGTACTCTTCCAGGCCTAGTTATATGTGTATGACACCTGGGTATTTCAAGAACTCTAGAGCCCAACCTTCACCTCCAATAATTGCCATGATTTTGTGCAAGATTCTCCTAAATCATTAGCCTTCATATCAAGATCACCCTAGGTTTTAAAACAAAAGTGTCTAAAAGCACTTACGCTATTCAACATAATTCAACAAGCATTTATTAAGCACTTACTATATATCAGGTTTGTGCTAGGAATACAAAAACAAAAATCGAATTTGACCCCAAGGAGTATATGTTCTACTGGGTAGAAACTACATGTACGTAGTATAGATACGCAAAAAAACTAGAAGGTAGAGGGGAGTGCTAGCCTAGACATAAGCCAAAGAGATGCCACTAATGCTCCAAAGGGTTCTAAATACAAATCCCTTCTTCAGGGTACATTTCATAGGGCTTACTCCTGTTCTATACCACATGATTACATATCTTGGACAGAATACATTAATTCTGCAACCCACATCAACCTGGTTCAGCCTCAATGCACCTTAAAACAGAAACAATAAAAAAGGGTGGTGGAATAGTGGCAAAGTACATGAAGCAGGTATTAAGAGGCTTTGGTTCTGATCTTGGCTCTGCCACTAAGTAAACTGTGGGGCTCATAATTCACATCTCAGTGTATATTTCCTTACAAGTACAATAAGGAATCTGAATCTGATGAGTCTTCAGATTTCTTGCAGCTCTAACATTTCAGGATTTTCATATCTTCAATGTTCCCTCAAATAACCATATAGCATGTGCCGTAATCCTTACATCTGACTCCTCTCCAGTATTAACTGCTGACTAGAGGTCATTTCTGCCCATAGGTCCTTCTTCTATCCTCCCAGCATACACATACCAATCCACACAGCTGTCTTGTTCATCCACCCAAACTGTCATTCATATTTTCAATCAGCTTTGGGGGAAGCAAACTAAAGGTAAAAATATGACTGCCACTATCATTAGTTTGTAGATAAATGCCACTTTTTCTGTTTCTTAGCACAATCAAACACATCCTTTTCAAAGACCTGCCCTCCAACCTGGAGCCCTAGAAGACCTTTTAGAATGCCTTTCAGACTAGTCTATATCTTCCAAACTGATCTATAACTTTACTCTCTAGAAAGGTGATGCTGGTGTGATGAATTCTAGTCGCGGCTATGCTATTAACTAGCTTGTGTGTGACTTTGGGCAAGTCACAACCTCTCTGTGCATTGCAGATTCCTCCTCTGTTAAAATAAAGGTATTGGACAAGATGATCTCTGAGGTCCCCCTCCAACTTTAAAATCCTGTCATTCTATGTTGCAAGATTAGATTGAAGGGCTGATACCAACAATAAGTTACTTTTATCCCATGATTTCTCTTACTATCAACATCTTGGCCCAGTCCCCTTAGCAAAGAATGGGCACTATGAGTGATGCAATAAACTTGTGTGAACAGTTTGGAATTAGCATGTGTGCATAGCTCAAAATGATTTCAAAGGGTCAAAATCTTATCTGAAAAGAAATGAACTCTGGGGTTGCCCCTACAAGGTGCCCATACCATACTATACCGCCAGAGCATAAACAAAATATGAAAACCAAATAAGAGGATGAGAAAGCCAACATAAACAAGATGAAGGAAGAGTCCTTGAAATGTTGGTCGGTATGTTATTCCCCCTTCAAAAAAAGGGTGTGACACCTGGCACTTTAAGGCTAGCATTTTAAAAACGTACTAGGTCTCTCACCTCTTCACTATAACATGTATATGGGTTAAAAAAATTGTTGTACCATATACCTTAATATTTAATATGTATACTCCTTCACCAGACATGCTTAGACAGTTAATAAATAACAAGAGTCCTTATCCCAGTTTTGTCTTAAGGCAGAACACAAAAAAATAAAATCAAGTTTATTGAAAGCTGACAGTTCATGAAGGGCCAAGAAGCAAATTAAGTTCGAAGACAAATAGAAGCCAGAAAGCAAGAACTGTGTGTCCTGCAAGAAATGCTAGGTTGGCCGAAGGAAAGTGGTAGTTGTTTGAAGGAGTCCCCCAACTTCGGACTGACCAAAGTCTTTGCAATGATATGAAACACCAACTGCCCCTGCCTCTTTTCTTTGCAGCCGTGCCCAGGGGAAGAGCAGGATGGCAAAGCCCCAAGCCGCACTGGGGAAAAAACACACACAAACACACAAACACACACACACACACACACACACACACACGTGTACGTTAAGTGAGGTGCTCTCGGCTAGCTGTCTGGCTGCACACCATTAAGTGAAACTACCTAGGGAGCGACGACAAGGGGCGGCAGCCGCGGGCTTGACTGTTCCACAAACACTGAGTGCCTTTGTTTGAATTAAACGCCCGGGAATGGGGGGGGGAGCCCGAGCCCAAAGCCACTCCGTGCGCGCAGCTCCAGCCCCCCCCCGCCCATCTCCTCCCCATCCATCCCCAACCTTCCACCGGCTCCCCAAGAGAAACTCACCCACGGTAGCGAGCGTATCGAAGTCCTGAAGCTTGTAAGAGGGAAGCTCGGGCGAAGGGGCCAGGGAGCCCGGGCCCGCCGCGGGGCTCGAGGAATGGGCGGGCTCCGAATCCCCCGACCCTGCGGACCCCGGAGGGGCCGGAGGGGGAGGTGGAGGGGGAGGAGGAGGAGGAGGACTCCCTTCGCTGCCCCCGTTTCCTGCCCCGACCTTGGCCGCTTTCGCTGAGGACCCGGCAGCCTCCATGGGTGGTAGGATGGGGAAAGTCAGAAAACACAAGCCAGAAGCCGGGTCCTCCTGCTTTTCCTCCTCCTCCTCCTCCTCCTCTTCTTCCTCCTCCTCCTCCTCCCTCCTGGTGCCTCTCAGCACATCTGGGGGAAGGGTGGGAAGAGGGATGATGGAGGGGGCGCGGCTGGCTTTCCGCCCCCCCCGCCGGGCCGGCACGGCGGGGGAGGGGAGATGCGTGCACACAACACACACTCACACACGCACGCACACAAACTTTCTGTCCAGCTCTGTAGGACGCGGCCCCGGTGCACTTTCTCGGGGACTTTGATCAGCAACCCTTTGCCCTTGGCCGCGGACAGCCTAGTAGAAGCGGTAGCATTGGTGCCGCTGGCTCCAGCCTCGGCCGGCCTCCTTTGCATCTCGCCCCATGGCTCGGAGGCTCACTCCTTCCCACACCCACCCCGCCCTACACAACCCCAGTCCAGCCCCGGGCAGCCGAGAAGCCAGCAAACCGCGGCAGCAGCGAACAATAGGATAGGGCCAAGTGTCCGGGCGGACTCTTCTTAATTAAATAGCAAAGAGAGAGAGAGAGAGCAGAGAAAGCAGCTGGAGTCTCATTTCTTAGAGGAAGAGGTAATAACTAGAAGTCCCGGGGGAGGAGGAGGAGGAAGAGGCGGTACGGGCCGTCGTGCAGCTGCTGCAGAAGCAGGAGGTGAGTCCCGGGCGGCTGGGACACAATCACCGGGACCACGTTCTTGGTTTGCTTCCGTATTTCCCCGTGCAAACCCCGCTGCCCCTCCACGCTAGAAGGAATCCCCGAGCCCCGAAAGCTGCGAGCAAAGGGAGGTAGAGTTTTATACCATCGTTACCCTTGGGCTTTTTTCCCCCCAGCCTCCCCGGGGCAATCTTTTAATTGAGGCGGCTTTGCTTTCATTAAATGTGAGGGCAGGGGAGGAACCAGGGATTTTCTGAGTACTCTAGGCACCTTCCCGCAACCACGCTAGGAAACCACCGGTTCCACAGACTCCAGCATAAGTCTCCTCCAGTCAGTTCCAAATTCAAAAGACAAGCACGTCCCAGACAACAAGGAAGGGGTTGTGGGTTCTGAATGACAGTGGTGGTGGCCAATGGGAAGGAGCGCTCCCCTCACTCCCTTCATATCTCCGTTTCACAATTGGCGCTCCCGTCCCGGGGAGGAGGGGGATGAAGGAACGACATCAGCCAATTGGAAGGCTGGGGCTGGCCCGGAGAAGGGGTGTGGTCTGTCACGCCCATGATCCCAGAGCCCCCTCCGGAGCTGGTTTTGTTAGCTGGCTTCTGTGACTACTCTTTCTTCCAGGTGCAGCGGGCGAGCCGCGACCTCTCTGTGCTGTTGGCCAGAGTTCTGCTCGCAGCACGTGGAATTCAGGAAGAGGTCGTAGGGGATGGAGATCGAATACTCACTAGAGGGGGAAAAGAAGAGGAGAATGAGGGGAGGGAAGAGCAAAACAGTAACCCCCAAAAGGAGTTTCGAGGAGTGTGGAATCCCAAGCCCATAACTCACCTTTACAAGTGTTATCACCCAGAGAGGCTTGGACAATTGCCTGGACATTAAAAGGGATCTTAGGGATTCCTTGAGCTTCACAGAACCAACATCAAGTCACCCAGGGAAGACTCGAGTTGCTTGACTGGGTTAGGACTCTATCACCTATGGTGATAAAAGAAAGTAATTTTCTTTTCCTGGTCACATTTTAGAAAGATCATTTCTTTATTCTAGAGCAGGAATTCCTAAACCTGGAGCCCAGGGCTCTGTGAACTTGAATGGAAAAATAAATGACATTTATTTCCACTGACCTCCAACTCAAATTTAGCATTTCCTTTAATTATCAAAAAAAAAAATCCTGAGGATGGCTTCTTAGGCTTCACCAGACTGCCAAAGGGGTCCACGATGCGTGCAAGACACACACACACACACACACACACACACACACTGGCCAGAGAAATGAGATGGGAGCATTCTCCATTTTTGACTGACAGTATTTAGACTGCATATTCTGACAGGCTAGTATATGATATACAGGTAGTAAGATAAATAGGCATATATGTATATGGCAATATATAAACATATGTGTGTATACATACATGCATGCTGTTTAAATGTTGAGGATTTGGCTGATCCAATCAAGAAATACCTGATTTAGAGCAATGGAGTTATTTGTTTTCATTTCTTTTGTAGGTGGCAGCTTTCTTGTTAAGGAGCAAACTGCCTTCAAGTTCAGCAATACGTGGTAAATAGGCCCTGTTGGTTCATTACTTTATCTGGACTAGGATTCATAGGTGCCTTACACCCACACTTAGGCCCATGTTTGAGCTGTCCAGCTCAACTTCCAAAGTGTGGGCGGATCTGTACATTAGTTCCTAGTCTGATTTTTCCTGTGAGTGGAAGACTGGGGAGGAATTAGATAAGGAAGACTGTCAACAATTGTATTGTCCTTTTCCAGGACAATTTGGTATAACTACAAACCTATCTAAAGCCACTTGGTTTGGCATAGTTATTGTTTTACTTCATGTAAATTCGAATTGTCAACAAATTGTATATGTGATTGCTATGTGCCATCAAAGTTTTATATTTTACTTAATAGATGCCTTTAGCTTTTGGAGATAATGAACTGTGTTTAGTAAGTTGGGAAGATACCACAGAGAGGCCTTCAGATTTAAGCATGCCCTTTTCCTGAAAGGTATATTTTCCCCCTGTTTAATCTCCCCTCTTTACCCAGATGGTGCACTTATAATTGTAGCTATATATGACAGTATCTTACAAACCAGCCTTCATCCTGAAAAAATCATTAAATATTTTTTGACATCCACATTTTTTAAATCCTTGTAAATAATATTCAATTTTCATTACTGCCTTTATGACATCTAATTAGTTATTGCAGAGTAAAAAAAAATGATTAACTATAATAATAGAAGACTGGATGCTTGTTATCTTTGTTCCTCTAAAAAGCAATATAAATCAAACATAAAACAATATCTACTTTGTATGTCACTAAGTATAAGAAAACAATCTAAAAACTAAGTGGATCCTATTACATACACCTTTTACATTTTACCACAAACTAAAGATAACAGAATTTTAAATTATCCTAATATTTCTTCATGTTGCCACATATTTCAGCATGTTCCACAAATAATTCTGCAAACACTTCTTAAGTGTCTCCTGTGTACAAAGAACAGTACTAGAGGAGAAACAAAGTTTAGGTAAAACATGATCCCTGCCCTCATTCAACAAATTCAATTCAATTTTTATTGGGTGCCTACAATCTCTAAGGGCAATATTTAGTAGAAGAATAAAGCGTGTACACAGATAAATATAATAAATGTTATGTGCATTAGAGAGATGAAAAATAAAGTGTTAAGTTGGGTAAAAAAAGGACCCTAGAGAGGGGAAACTGGGGAAGAGTGGGTAGGAATTCGGTTCATGAAGAGAGTAAGTAATGATACTGCAGATGTGGCGGCAGAGAGGCAGGAAAGAACATATTTTATGTTCCACATGATATAGTTTGGGTGCAAAGAAGAGTCCTTTGCAAGGAGTAGCATAAGTCTACAAGGGTAAGGTAGAGCTATATTTTGGGGAACTTTGAATGCCAGTCAAAGGACCCTGAATTTAATAGATAGAAAAGATTTAGTCTTTAAAGAGTTTGACTTGACAAGATCAATGCCTAAGGATAAGGCCAATACTTGATTATCTCCCTTAGTGGATAATTAGATGGTAATTAGGCAGGGTAATTAGAATGGGTGCTGGGGCAGGGGCTGTGCTGGGACTGGTCCATATGCCAAGGATGGGTCTAAGGACACAGCTATAGGAGAGTCTGGTACTAAATGATTCCACCTAGAGCACTATAAAAGAAGAAATGTGGCCTGAATATTTTCATTCAGTGGTATTTCTTGTGAAGTGAGTTCTCCTTTTCTTCAGGAGTTCTATTTTGGCACCTTCATTTCTCTCCAAGCCAGATGTAGCTCTCAGACACAGATAATAGAGTTAAATTTGAACAATCGCTTAAGTTCAGAGCTAGGATTCTAGATCTGGAAGGAATATCAAGAACCATGTAATTTCAAACATACTTTCAGTCAGACACTCAGACAGCATTTAGTAAGCTCTTATTGTGTGCCAGACCCTGAGGATACAAAGAAAGACAAAAACTGTTCTCAATGGTCTCATATTGTAATGAGGGAAACAACATGTAAATAACTAGGGACATACAAGTTATAAACAAAGTAGATGAAAAGTCAGGATAACTTATACAATAAATATATGACTAAATTTCTAATTTTTAAAGACATGTAGGAGTAGGGAACTTGTCATCCTATGTGAGAATATCTTTCTTCCTTCTGACAAACTTAGGGTCTCGGTGCAATTTAGGTAAATTTCAAAATTCTGTAGATAGGCAATAGTTTTTAGATTCCTTCCTTTAGTAATTTAACCCTCATTCTTTAAAATTAAATAATAATAGATTTAGAGCTGGAAACAAATCTAGAGGATATTTGGTTCAATACTCTCATTTTTCAAAAGAAGAAATTTACCAAAAAGAAGTAGAAAGACTTAACCAAAATCACACAGTGGTTGACAAAGTCAAGATTCAGATGCTGGACTTCTGACTCTGGATCAGATAATCTTTCTACTATTCCATGATACCTTTGAATCTTAAGCTTGTTCTAAATTTCTCTTAAGTTTTGTTCCTAAGTGATATTTCCCAAACTTTTAATCTATTTCTCTGGGACATTTCAAATATTCAACTTTTATCTCAAAATGCTAAGACCAAAATTGAATATCTTACCTGAATACATAATGTATAATAAAAGAATTAACTTCCTAGTTCTTTGATTTGCATATTCTTGTTGGTATATACCAATTTCATTTTTGATTCATTCATGTTGATATATGTATACCTTGTGGTGAACTAGAAATCTCAAGTAGTATTTTCTACTAATAAAGCCAAAACTATAACTCTCAAGCAACTAAATGTGAAGGTGCAAAGGTCTGTTTATTTTTATAATTAACATAATGATAATCTAAATAATCAGAGGGTGATTAGTTAAAGCTTAACATAATTACCATCATGATCTAAAATATTTAAAGTGTCCTCGTATTCATATGTGGTACCCTGAGTTAAAATACAGGTATTAATGAGAAACTCTTTAAAATAAAACTTTATATTTATGTATCGATAAGGACCTGGCATGTTCTAGTCATATGAAAAATGCAACTTCTTTCTCATGAATTTACACACACACAAGACAACATATACTCACATGCCATGGTACTTGTTGTATTAGTTACCTCTCTATTCCCACGAAAATACATCTTGTACTCTTTGCAAGTGTGTGTGTGTGTGTGTGTGTGTGTGTGTGTGTGTGTGTGTGTGTTTTGAGGAGTGGGAGGAAGGCTTTGATGTG